GTTTTAGGACTTAGGATTTTTAGAGTTAATGTAATTCCTTGTACAGTAATTCAAAAATGTGAAACAATCTCCTCCTTCTTGTATAATGAGATCTTTATGAAATAAAATTCCCAAAACTTGAATCTATTTATATTTATTTCTAGTTAAAAAATTATAAACATTTGTGAATAAATCCACAAATATTTAAATTCATTAACATAGTCATAAACCATAAACATTCCCGAATGATATTCTTATTCGTGCACTTGTCTCATTTGTAATCTTAATCTCATCATCTGATTAAAATCCAATTTAAATGCTAACCAACCATTTCATAACCAAACACGGATGTGCACCGTAATCACAACAGTTTCAGTATCAACAATAACATTACTCGTAATTGAATTCCACTGACCAAAGACTGTGAGCAACAATCCAATAATACCCCAGTAAAACTGTGCCTTATTAACAGAAACGGAGGTGCGCCGGAAATAAGCCACGAGCAATAAAATAAGTCTTAAATTCAGTTGGGCCCGACAAATTTTAATACTGGCCATATCGAATTGGCGCCTTGATATAATCAGACCTGGTGATAGGTAAATGCCTCAAATGCCTCAAAATTTAGTAACAGCCCGTCTTCCACGCAAAATGACCAAAATACCCCTGGATCCAATCCTGCAAGACAAATACCTCCATGACTTGTTAGTGGTTAGCAAATGTACATATGGGATGCTATGCGAAATGACTGACTAGATATAAGGGTAAAATTTGGGGTATTACAAGTTGCAACAAAGACTCATGATTTGAAAATGGTGTTTTTTTTCAAAAAAAAAGTTGTGATGTATCTACTTCCAATGATTCAACATTATTCACAACATCATTAAATCTGAATCTCAGCCAGGCATGAATTCAAATAATCAATGATTTTTAAAAGATTCAAACTGAAATTTGATGGATCAGTAGGTTGACAAACCTCAAACAGAACCTAGACAGCAAACTACATGTATCATGTTTCAACAGCATTCATAATGAGTCCTAACAACAGTGCCTCCACAACGACAAACACACATACCCAACATTTTCACAGCTCAATCAACTTGATCTAAACAACAGCTTACAAGCTAGTATGTCTAAACATGATTAACAACTTTTTACAACAAAACAATCATAACTAATAAAGTCTCATTTAAAACAGAAACAACAGCAAGCTTTGACATCACAATGCCAACATCAAACATCATTTCAATACATTGCCTCAAATGACAGTTACTACTTCATGATAGCAAACACAAACAAGTCTTAGCATGAGAACCAAGTCTTAACAGCAATAGATACAATCTTAACATAACAATGTCAAACATCATAGATCAATTCATTACATGTTTCACATGACAATCACAAACTCATGACAGCAAACACAAACCAAGTTCAACATGCTCTAATGATTCAAGATATTTCAATTCACTCATATTAATGAGAGAGTTTGTAATCACATACCTCTTGTAGACCTCCAAAATGAGCTAACAGCCTTGAGTGAGAATCCTTTTGAGCAAGATATCCTCCTTTGATGCAAGCCTTGAAGTTACTTCCTTTTGAAGTAATGAGTGACAAGTGATGACAGTTTTAGCAAATGGTGTTCTAGCTGCTTTTCAATGATTTAGAAAGTAGGTACAATATAAATATGTGGTGTTCAAAGTGTTAAAGAGGTCCAAACTGATCTAGGCAGTGTATTTCACCATTTTATACAGAAAAGTCAACATTTAGGGTGTGAGGGGTTGACTTTTAATATTGTGGTATTTTTGGCCAAACTAATGGTTGGAACACCTTCTAATAGTGATTTTGAGATTGTATGGATGGTTTTTAGGGTGATTGAATGGTTAGAGAGGATGCTGGTGTGAAGTTTGTGCAAGACAATTTTTGATGGTTTTGGAAACTTTGCTTCACTTTCAAGTAAAGGTTATGCAAGATGAGAGAACTTAGTTTTCTCTTGATATTTAGAGTTCTCTGGTCTCTGTTTGTCATAGAGAATACCTCTATTTATAGGTAAAGCAAAGATGAGGACCGATTGTGAAGCATGCCTTGCAAGTTGTGATTTTTGGAAGAAAATCTTAGCAAATCCCATTCTAACTTGCTCTGCAGATCTTTTGCTTGTTTTCAATGTTACTTGGCCTCAAAAACCAGCTATCCTTGAGCTGTAGAGAAGTGACATAAGGAGAGCAAGGACAGATATTCCATGCTGCAACCACAAACATTCTCTCTCCTATTGTACTTTTATACTTTTCTCCATTAAAAAATGGTCTTTTTTGACAAAACCTTGGTCATGCTTGTAAGTTCCTCTGAATTAGTTCATTATACACTCTTAAACATCATATCATATGTCAATCCATGGTTAGAAATCAAGTGGATAGTTGGAAAGTAAGTTTGTGCTGAGTTTGGACATGATGCATTTCAAGTGTGAAGAGCCAACTTGTCTCCTCCGAAACTCTCAGCTCATAAGTGATATGGAGGAGTTCTTGTACTTTTTGGAAAGCCTTCATCATGCCCTACAACTTTAATGTTTTTGGGATGTTCAAATTCCAAGTGGAACTAGGTCAAAAATCCACTTGAAGTTGGCTGAAAACATGACTTAAAAGTGCTAAAAACATAGAATTTTACTATGTGTTTTTCTCCTTTTGTAATAATTTTGACTATAACTCCAAATCCATTCATATTTTGCACATAGGTCACCCTTACACTTTTGTAGGGATTGTTAAGACCTTTCTAACAAGCTTTGAACCACCTCATTTGGATGTGTGGTTAAAAAGTTATGGTCTTGTCCCTTTCAAAACCCTAATTCCCAACTTTTTCGATTACTCCTCAATCCTTGATCCAATGGTCACAAAACTTCATGACTAGATTTAATATGACATTAGGAACATATTTTCTTTCAACTTTGAGGTCAAAACCCTTTTGGTCAATGAGTTGACTTTTCAGTCAAACGAACCGATCGATCGAAAACCCCTGAATCGACTGCTGGTGTTCTGGATCTTCTGAGGTCTTGGAACTTCTTGAGTGGACTTCACTATGTCAAATGAGCTTCATGGACCATGATCTTATCATTGGAGTACCATTTAAATCAAAATTCAAATTACAGTTGACTTTTCCTAATCAGAAACCCTAAATCGGGGGTCTTGGACTGCACTGTTCTTGATCTTTGGGTGACAATCTCAAATTGGATTCTACTTGATCCAATGTAGTATTCTTTATGATGTGGGTACTTGTTTCATGGAGAATCAATCTAAGAAATTGACTGATCAAACCATCGAAACCCCGATTACTGATTGTATGGAACCCTAATTCATCTGCATCTTGACAAAGACAAACTTGAAACGGGATAAGGTTAGATAAGCAAATGATGATGCTCCTAGAATGATGATGAAAATCTATGGGTTAAAATTTGGGGTATAACAAATGTCTTAACTAACAATCACAAATCGATAAGTTGCATAACTTCAAGGTTGGGGACGAAGAAGAAAGAGAAATGAGATGAAAATATGAAGACTCTCTTTTAAAAAGCCAACAAACATGACCTTTTAAACTAAGAAGGCAAAGATACCCACTCAAGGATTCAAGCTTGTGAGTCCCAAAGACAATGAAGATTCTATTAAGCAAGAGCTATGTGATGGCACCAATGACAAAACACCTCATGACATAGTCAAAACACATAAATTTTGAAGAAAATATCAAATTCACCCCTAAACATGGAATTCCTTTCCCCAAGGCTACTAGCTACGTGGGAGACTAGGGAGAAAACCAAGAGTTAAGAAAAAACCGACAAAGAAATCTCATTGTCAGAAAGACGACATTGTATCAAGGATCTATAGTTTTTATTTTTATGAAATAAAAAAACACTGTCCAACCAAAGTTTTCAAGATAGAAGGTTGTGCCTACTAGACACTTTTGCCCTTCAATTTTCCACCAAGGAAATAAGAGGCACGCCTTTTATTTGGAGAAAAGCCAACATTAAGTAGGGCCATGCCCACTTACTTACATCACATGGTGATGCTTCTTGAGAATGTGAGAATAAACCACGACCAGTTTCGCCGACCCTTACATTGGGGCTATTGTTCTATTTTGGGCCAAGGCACAAACTACTCTGCTTCATCATATTGCGATGCCCTATGAAGAACTTGATAAAGAGGTCTTCAGATCAATCTAATGAATCTTATATAACATGTTAGAGGGGCTAATTAATGTCTATGGAATGATCCTGTTCTAACTTTGTAGTGGCCAAAACCAATAAAGGTTCTAAAGGTCATAGAGTTAGACAAACCAAACTTTCTGACATAACTCTATTAACGCCATACAATTTGTTAGAAATAAAGCCTATCGTGTTTAAGGAAAGTGTGTAGGAATATTAGAGGCTTGAATAGAAACTTGATAGATATGAGAATTATTTATGGAAGAGAGAACTTTGTATTTTGCTTGATACAAAAGTGTAGAATTTCAGGGATCATCTCATATATGTCCTACTATAAAAGGGGAGTGGCCATCATTCTGAAGTATACACAATTCTAATCCTAAAACGTCTCACCTGAAGTATACACAATTCTAATCCTAAAACGTCTCACTTAAGGATCGCCACTAATTTAAATGTCAAAATATTTACAGGTGAAAATTGAAACACTCACCATAGTTCAACATCAATAGTTCATTTTCTTTGTGTGAAGTAGGTCCAATCCCGATAATTGAGATTAAGATCTCCTTTTCATTCTTCTAAAATCAATATAACATAACATATTAAATGAATGATATTTTGAATATATCTCTTAGTTAGTTAATGTTATTTAGAGCATAATCAAACACATTATTATTATATATGCTAATCTAATGTTTTAATTGGTATTACGCAAAATACAAGATAATAAATCTTTATCAATCATTATACAATTAATGAGTTCTACTATTTTATCATGCATTATTGTATCATGCGTTCCAACAGTCTTGTATACAAATATGGCAGTTGAAAAACAAAACAGTGGTTATGCTTGTGTGATAATAATACCTTTGTGGTTATAAGTGTAATATTTGGAAAAGTAAAGAAAGAAAGTAAACCCCACCGCACTTAGTCCAGCAAGAAGCCAATAAAAGTAATCAAGATGTGCCTTGTTGATATTGTCACAAAACCAACTTTCATTACCATCTTTGCCACTCAAATTTCCAATTATAGAAATGAGAAAGCCACTTAGAAAGCTTCCAACACCAACAATACTCAAGTAGAGTGCAAGCCCCATGCTTCTTAGTTCATTTGGGACTTGATCATAGAAAAATTCTTGAAGACCAACCATAGTAAAAACCTCTGAAACTCCAAACAAAAAGTATTGTGGCACCAACCACCATATACTCATTGGAACAATTGCATTAGGATCATCAACAAGACCATACTCTTTTACTGTTTTAAGTCTTTTAATCTCAACAAACACTGCAATTACCATTGTGAATATGGATAAAAAAATTCCAGTTCCAATTCTTTGAAGCATTGTTATCCCTGAGGGTTTTCCGGTGATAGCTCGTGCTGTTGGTACAAATATGCGGTCGTAGATAGGGCTGAAGAGAATAATGGCGATACCGTTAATCGATTGAAGTGAAGCGGGTGGTATGTCAAAACCGGGAAATATTGTTCTCTCCATAGATTTTCCTTGCTTGGTGAAAAATGTAAAAACTTGAGCAAAGACAATACCATAAACCAAACATGAAGTCCAAATTGGAACCAGCCTTAGTATTGCCTTTGCTTCTTCCACCTCACTAAGGCTACAAGTCTTTTCTTTTTTGGATCCGTTTGGTGTTAACAATGCCTTGTTGAGAAAGCTTCCAAGTCAAAAGAGATGTTATTTATTAACATCAAATTCATATTTAGACATGAAATTGAAAAACAAGCAGAATTAAATTAGCATTGTTATTCTTACTTGAATTGTTGTGAACTTGTCTTGTGAAGCATTCCATCACATTCCTCTTCAAAAGATGTGGTTGATAAGGTATTTCGCCAATTTCTTATTGCCGCGACAAATACACGACCGATTCTAAGAAAAGGGCTTGTATCAGTTTCCTTGATGATATACCTATAGGTCATTGATCCAAGCAAGAAAACAAGCAAACCAATGGTCATTACAACACAAGGTATTCCAAATCCAAGAACCCAACTATAGTTATCTTGTATATAGTTCAAGATCGAGAGTAGTGCCGTGCAACCGCCAACCATTGTAAAATACCACCAATTAAAGAATGAGCTTCTAGCTTTGTGTTCCTTAGGATGTTTTTCGTCGAACTGATCTGCGCCGAAAGCTTGAACACAAGGTTTATGTCCACCTTGTCCAATGGCAACTAGATAGAGTGAGATGAAGGATAAGATTACTTGTGACTGAGGGGAGCAAAATGTGAGGGATGAAAGCATAGCCGATAATGTTAACAAGCCTAGACCCTGTAATTCATATTAATCCAATAAACAGTATCAAAATAACTAGCCAATATAGCTATTTCCGACAATCTTTACTAATTATTGATAGAGAGTATCCATTCTTCTTTAAAATGATAACTAACCAAGATATAGATGAGAGAAGAAACTACGATTGTACGGTATCGTCCAAGAAAAGAATCAGCAACAAAAGCACCTAAGAGAGGAAGAAGTGTTGCTGTTCCAGCCCAGATATTCACATTCACAGCAGCTGTAGCAGTGGTCTGTTTGAGGGGCCCTGTTAGATATGATATCAAGTTGCCTTGAATTCCATAATTTGACATTCTTTCTGCCATTTCCACACCTATAAACATTACATTGACAAACTCAAAAAACAAATGATGAAGATGAATTAGTATGTTATAGTATGAAAATTACCTATGATGAACCAAGCAGATCTCCAATAACCAGATTTGGATCTAATGGCTGCTTGTCCATGATAGTCAACAGCACCATCTACAACATCACCTTCTAACAAAATGTCGCTGGGATTCTCCATCAAATCAATATTGATTAAAGATGGCTTTTTTCTTTGGTGGTTTTGTATGCGTTGAAAACTCTTTCTTTTATAGGAAAGTGTCTCAGTTTAAAAATATCCTATGGATAACAAAATATTATGTTATTACTCCACTCATTTAACGTGGATTTTTAAACTATGTGAGGTCAGTGTACCATTACTTTTAAATATTAATCAACAACCAACACATGCATGCTTGCTCCTACATTTAATATTCTTTAGAGAACAAATATTATTATAGAGAAATGTTACTTTAACATAAAATTCTTACATCTATCACTCTTCACTTATACGGTATAGAAAAATGGGAGAGGAAGGTCAAATTCAGAGTGAAAGGAAGTATCCCTTCCTTCAGATCTCCACAAAATAGCAAAAGGAGGGATATGAGATCTAGAACTAAGTTTAGGTCGGGTCTGAAAGCAATTTCTTTGAAAGTCACGTCGGAGATTTGCAATCCATCTTTGAATCTAACATCGCATGTATTTCTGATCTCTATCGGGATATTCACCATGACGATTTAAAAGATACTACAAGTTCATGTATTTCTGATCTCTATCAGGATATTCACCATGACGATTTAAAAGATTCTACAAGTTCATTGTTAATGATGCTCTGATACTACAAGTTCATAATTAACATCGAGTGTCTGTCCAATATTGAGGTGCATTTTGTAAGTGTCACAGGATTTCTACTTGATGAACCAGAGTCTTCTCAGATCAGACCACAAAGCAGAGGTTCACCAAGCGTGTTCAAAAATGGATATCGGACTTGTTGCGGTGAGAATCGGATAACAAGCTATTAGTTAACTTGAATCACAAATCATTAAATTCACCACCGAACTTTGATTTATCCAAAGGAAAGGGTAAAGATCGAAGAAAATCCTAAGTGCGCTATGTAACAACAAAGATAAGAGAATCTAAGGTTCGGGGTTGGTTATACTGAGGGAAAGTGTTCGCATCCTAAGTATTTGTAGTACTCTACTGGAACCTCTTGTTAGTATTTGTGTTATGTTATTGTTTGCCTGATAAGGAAAAGGTGGTTGATAGCGCGAAATTATATCGGATATTTGATTTGACTTGCATGAATTTTATCTGCTTTTATTGCTGTTTTATTTGATTTATCTTCGATTACGCCCTTGTTTTCTACTGTTTTGTAGGTTACCATAAATATGGACTAAAAGAATAAAAGGAGAAATAAATGAAGAAAATGGAAAGAAAAGAGGAAGAAAAGACAGTGGAAAGAGAAGAAGAAGAAAGAGAAAGAAAAGAAAAAAAGTGTGGGGGCCACCACACACCAAGTGGCACTTGCCACTTCGGTGTGGCGCCTGCCACATGAACATATTGAAGAGGTGGCGCCTGCCACCTAAAGAATACATGAAGAGTGGCGGCTGCCACATGCATGGGGTGGCGAGTGCCACTCCTACAAAAACGGGAAGTGGCGTATACGCCACTTCCTCCCCAGAATTTCTCCACTCTCTCCCTATTTTTCCTCAACGTCCTGGCTACATTCTCTCTAGATTTTTCTTCTCGTTTGAAGCTTCAAAGTCATGTAATGGTTGCCCACTAGCATCTATATAAGACAAGGCAGTTTTGGAAAAAGGCACGCATTATATTTTCTGTTTTTGTTTTAATTTTCTTTCATTCTGTTTTAGTTTTCTTTATACTGTTATTAGAGGATTGTTGTAAAGAAATTGTTTTTCACATTGATTAACAATTTACATTTAGTTTAGGATTGATTCGTAAAGGTTGTAATAATTGTACCACACTGTAAGCCGGCCTTCAAAATCAAATCCAAGTTCTGTTTTGCAATTTTCAGGTTTTGCTTTAATTTTTATCGCTATATCTTTATGCATTCTTTCTATTTTCTGTTTAGTATTAGGATTGTATTTAGTAAAAGCATGAAAGCCATGTCTGGCTAAACCTCTTAGTATCGGTATGTAATTACGATCGGTCGGAGGGGGTTCGGTAAACCGTGACGTAAATTTAATGGAGTCAATGTTTCTGGTCTCTGTTTCTTTTGCCAAATTAATAACTTTTGTCACGAGAGTGAAAAAGTAACGAAGGTTAAGATCAATAAACCGAGAGTTTGAGGTCTTAACCGGATAGCTGAAACTGAACATTAGGCTTAAATACAGCGAGAACGCTTTAAGGTTAATTAAGATTTATCTGTTTTCAAAAAGTGTTTTTAAATGTAAAATGAGAGAGCGGGAGCCGCATTCTGATTTGAAAGCATAGTCTAAGTCAAGACCACGAGACTGTGAGATAAGGTTTTTTAAATGAGCATTTTCTAAAAAATAACAATTCTTTCTTTCTAAACTAAACGCCCACGAATTACTGGAACCCCCCCCCCCGATGATTGACAGGATTATATACCGATATTTAGCAATATCTTAATTTAATTTAATTTTAATTTCGTACTTATTTTATTTCTCGCATCCCAAATTTAGAAATTCATTAGCCTTAACTTTACATAGTAGCATTAGATAGCGGTAGATCGACTCTTGGTCCTTTGAGTTCGATAATATTTTAAAACTACACGATCAGAGTGTGCACTTGCAGTCGCGAAACATTTAGACATCCTAATTGCCGATCAAGTTTTTGGCGCCGTTGTCGGGGACCAACTAAGTCGATATCGTAACTTTAGTGTTGCGTAGTATAGACTAAGACAACTATTTCCCTATTCTAATCGTCGATTGTATGCCAAACACTCACTCTAAAGGTGAGAAGCATTACATTAACAAACTCAAAAAACAAATGAAGAAGATGAATTACTATGTTATAGTATGAAAATTACCTATTAACATTACATTGACAAACTCAAAAAACAAATAAAGAAGATGAATTAGTATGTTATTGAAAATTACCTATGATGAACCAAGCAGATCTCCAATAACCAGATTTGGATCTAATGGCTGCTTGTCCATGATAGTCAACAGCACCATCTACAACATCATCTTCTAACAAAACGCCGTTGGGATTCTCCATTAATGTCGATTTACTTCTTCTTCACTAATAAAGACGAGTTGTTTGCGTTTGTTGTGTATTTCGTCTCATTACTTCTGAGCCAAAATCTCTTTCTGTCTCTTTCTTATGGTGGCTGTGTTTGTGTACGAGTATTGAATTCTTTTATTGGAAAGAGATTTGGTATTTTTGTTTTCTTTCAAGTAACAACTAGTATTATATTATATTTTAGAGAATAGAGTGTGAAACTAATATTTTTATGTTGTTTACACAATGCAATAAACGAGTATTAAAATTATTTCAAGTCAATGTACAATCACCAAACGAGCATTAAAATTATTTGAAGTCAATGTACAATGACCAACTCTACAATTAAATTTTCATAATGAATACAAGCTACTAACATTTTGGATAAAATATTATTGGTGCCAAGTATTAGTCCATTTTGCTTATGATTAACTTTTGACAAAAAATGTATTGTATGATCGATGGTGTCTCTCGAACAAATCTACAACTAAACATTAGTTTTAATTGCCAAAATGAGAGTGTTGAAGGATGCTTTAAATTTTAAACCGATGAAGAGAAAGGAAGCATTTTTTAGATTGTAAAAATAAAAAAATAGCATGAAAGTCAAGGGAGGGAGCCAACCCGATGATGGAACTAGTGTGATTGGGCTAGCGGTGAGTCTGGTTGCCGACGAGTAGCATTTTCGACAGGTCGGATTTATGGTGGTCTTGATCGACAATGGCATCGGTCTGGTCAATTTTCATAGGCAATTTGCATTTGTCGGTATCAGATGTGGTCCAAGCAATTTTCATGTATTGGGCCTGATTGTTTCGATTTGTGAATCAGTTTGTTAATGGGTTACGTTTTGGGTTTGTTAAGTATCTATTGGAATTCCATCTGTTATAAATAAGTATTTATATCATTCTTGCATTTACAATCTTAAGAAATTTAGAGTTGTAGTGACATGTTTGTAAAAGACATATTAAAGGCGACTCCCGTCTGTCGCTCGCCATTAGGGACTACCTCATCCTGAGTGTTCTCACTTGTCCAGTCATGGGAAACGTGAGAAAAGGCGTTCTTCAGTCAGAGACAAGTCAAAGTCAATTGATTAATCCACACCTATCTAGTAAATAGGGATTCAACGGTCCACCACATATTAAGTGAGTGGTTGTGATTCCCAAGGAAATTTTATACCTAAGAGCCTCTACAAAAAACTCATCCCTAGGAGATGAAAAGACAGATCGTAAAGACACATGACATACACCACAAAGCTACGAAGTTTCTCACCTCACGTGAGCTTGCTCTCTCATCACCGTGAAACAGCATCGAACAGGGCCCCTCACTGCCGTAAGCAATCCCTAAACACCCAAAAAATACTAAGGCCTCTAGTCACCCTTACTAGCTTAGAGGTAACACGCATGCTGTATTTTTCTACAAGTACAATGGTGTCCACTATGGGGCTCTACTAAAAGTAACCTGGACCACGCCTTCATCATAACCGCTTTCATCAACTTCCATTTAAGATGAAAAACAGAGCCCCATATTGTGTGGTTAACACCATACATAGAGGTTTCGTTGGCGGAGGAAGCTCCAGCTCATCCCTAAGGAAATATATTGGGCAGATGCTAATCGTAAATGTAATATTCTCAAAATTCTCCAAATTTGATGAGGGAGAACTATGGGCCAACATCACCTTTTCAAGCAGTGATCTTCTTTAAACCCTCTTTCACGATAATAACCTCATAGTTATCATTGTGCAACACGGCAATTAGGATATCAAACGAGTCTTCATAGAACCTGAAAGCTCAACCGACATCTTATTCTATAACACTTACCAAAAACTCCAACTGGATCCTAACAACATTAATGTGTTTCAGGGTTCATTAGTAGGGATGTCATTCGAACAAGTGCAAGTATTGGATGAAGAAGAAATAAAACATTCGACATTTTTGGCTTTGACTTGCAAATAATGATCTGATTAATAATCTGTTAGAACACAGATTGGTGTTTCTTATA